GAAGAATAATGTCCTTCTTGTTACACGTAAAAAGAACTTTGAAGCCCCACAGACTGTTGAGCAGGTCTTACTCCAGCAATCTCAGAATGGAAGAATTCTATGGACTGAAAAATCATAAGTTGCTCAGCAAGTCGTACTCCAGTGCCCCCAAGTCATCCAAAACAGAGCTTTTCAAGGAACCTAATGCGTTCCTTGAAACCAATGAACATGGTTACTTCCAGACAGAAGCAACATTTATAGTCATATTCTAGAACCTCACTTAAAGCCATTCTGAATATCCACTTTATACTAATGTCACTTTATAGATAAAGAACTTCTTCTTTTACATATTCTATATCATTTACACATTCAAAATAGTTGTGATAAAAAGGTTTTGTTTGCTCTCACTAAATATGTATATGGGGGTATTTAGTGCTAACCATTTAAGGCATCAATAAATATTAGGAAGAATGTGAAGGTAACTTATCAGAAATTTATATTACTCTCAAATAGATTTATTTTTTAAGTTATAGATTATACTGTAAAATTGTATTGTTTTAAGAAAAATTTATTGAGCCTGTGGAGAATTTTAAGTGGATATCTATCCATGAAGTCCATTTCTTTTATAGAAGATAAGCTTTCCAGATGGAAAAAATAATTTAGAATTACATAATGGATGTTTTCCCATGGTAGTTTCAGATATTCTTGAAAGAAAGTGTCATTATTACCTCCTATATGGTTAGGAATAAAACCTGTTTTAGTGTTTACCACTTTCATTAGGTATCTAATATTTCTTTGGGTAAAGAATTGCGTTTGATTATAAAATAAGATTGAAATGCATTAATTTAAGAACTTGCTGTATTTGACAATTAGAAACACAGAAAACCTGTTTGTTGTCATCATATAAAGATAGATGCCAATCAATTTTACTAAAGAGGTCATATGCTAAGAATGCTTTTAATTTAATTTAGGCAAAGATTTAATTACAAAGGATATTAAAATAGAGTAAATAAAGAAATCCTAAAATCTTGATACTTACTAAGTGACTTAAATCATATTACTTATGAGTTTTAAAAGATTGTATCTGTAGTCACTGTTTCAGAAAGTGAAAGGCTATAATTCATAATTTTGTCCAATTTGAAAAAAAGGTATTTTCTTCTTTTACTTTACTTTTTATAGCCAAATGGTGCAAAATGCATTCCAATACGAGACCACGGCTTCCTAGTGCAGGTATGATTCGATTTCACCCATTATAAAACCTTTGTTTCCTTAGTGATGTCTCATTTATGAATTCCACCTAATTGTTCTTCTTTTCTGTTGCCTTCAGACAATTGAGTTTGCGGAACAGCGGATCCCTGTATTGAATGAATACTGTGTGGTTTGTGATGAGCCGCACGTGTTTCAAAATGGACCCATGCTTAGGGTGAGTTCCCTTTGGTAGAATGTCAGAGTTCATTTAGAATATAAACACAGAGAGTTAAGAAATAAAGATAAATATCTAAGTGCTACAGGGTTGCTGTGAGTTGGAACCGACTTGACTGCACTTAAAAACAGTAGCAACAAACTGCGCAAATTAAAATAGCCTAATTTTGACATAAACAAATTAGTATCACTTCTGAAGGGATCTCTGAAAGGGCAAATAGCTTGGTACTAGGGAAATGTGTCTTACTGCATTTTTGAGATCGATTTCTAGGTGCCACTTAGATACATAGATAGATGAGTGGAAGAATGGTAGATGTATATGGGATATGGTGTCAGTTATGTAGTGCTGCTGTAATGGAAATACCACAAGTGGATGGCTTTAATAAACAGAAATTTGTTATCTCACAGTTTAGAAGTCTAAAAGTCCAAATTCAGAGTACCATCTCTGGGGATAGGTCCTTGTATCCTTTCAGCATCTGTAGGCCCAGCATTCCTTAGAGATCTCCATGTGTCTTGAAATCAATCTTTCCCTGGACCTAGAAGCTTCACAGTACAGGGAACCCAAGTCCAAACGCTGTGCTCCACTCCTGGGTCTCCTTTCTTGGTGATAGTGAGTACCTCTTTCTATGCTCACATGTCTATCCTTTTGTCTCTTGTAAGATCAGAGGTGTCGCATGTCATACCTTTGGGGGACCTCCTATACCTCAGATCAGGGTTGTGGTGGGATTAAGGGTGGTATATGTCCAACTCTTAATCCTCTTATTGGTGTATTACATTAAATCACATCTTGGGAGATCATCACATAACTATCAAACTACTGAAAATCATGATCTATCCAAACTGACATGTATTTTGGAAGGGAGGAGTGGACACAATTCAGTCCATGACATATTGTAAACAATGTTTCTTCCAACCCCACAATATAAGATGATTAATAAAAAGGAGCTCTGGTAATGTAATGGTTATGAGTTGGGCTGTTAACCTTAAGGTCAGCAGTTTGAAACTATCAGCTGTTCAGCGGGAGAAAGATGAGGCTTTCTGCTCCTGTAAAGATTTGCAGCCTAGGAAACTATACGGAGTCGCTCTGAGTCAGATCCAACTCTGCAGCACACACCCAACCAACCAAATATAGAAGGAGTTGGCCATATGCAAAGCATCCTGGTGGCACAGTGGTGAAAGCACTTTACTATTAACTGAAAGGTTCAAACCCATTAGCTGTGTGGTTCTGTAAAGATTGCAGCCTGGTAAGCCCTACTGGCCCAATTCCACTGTGTCTGTGGCTCACTATAATTTGAAAGCAACTCAACAGCATTTTTTTGGTCATGTGCCTGTGGTACCGAATAGCATAAGCAGAATTGGGACAAATATTCCTCAAAATACCAACTCATTGACACAGGGCACTGTCCAGGAAGTATAGAAATTCTTGCATTTGGGGAGAATTTCAAAGGTTTGACTTTTATTTATTTATTTAGCAATATTTTATTGAGATAAAGCTCATATGACATAAAATTCAATACATTCAAATGCACAGCTCAGTATATTTTAGTATATTCGTAATACTGTCTAAGTATCACAACTGTCTAATTCTAAAACTTCTCCATCACGCTCAAAAGAAACCCTGTTCCTATGAACAGTAACTTCTAATTTCCTCTTCTTTCACTCTTTGGCAAACATTAATATATTTCTGTCTCTCTGGATTTGTCTGTTCTGTACATTTGATTTAAACGCAGTCAACAATGTGTGGTCTTCTTTGTTTGAGTTTTCCATCTAGCATAATATTTTCAAAGTTCATGCTGTAGCGTGTATCAGTACTTAACTTTTTAAAGTGCTAAATAATAATTATGTTTTTGTGTATGGCATGCTGTAATATAAGCATGGGACTACTGACTGTAAGGTCAGCAATTCATCCCCACCAGATAATTCTTGGAAACCTTTCGTTGTGTCAGTACTGACTGAGAGGCACTTAACAACAATGACATTTTTAATAAATAGTAAATTAATTTCAACAGTACAGAAAATCTGTTTTTATGTAACTCTGCCCTTTCTCCCTTCCTCCATTTTATGCTGTTCTTTTCAGAAATTACATCTTTATATATTGTATGCCCATCAGCATAGATTTATAATTAACACATTGTATGGTTGTCTTCATGCTCACAAGATTTTTCTTCTGCTTGCTTGTATCTGATGTGAAGACTCTCTAGTGAATACTAATTATCCTTCAAATTTCAATTATTGTACTCTTTGACTCCAGAATTTGTTTGATTTATTTTTATAATTCGTCTTTATTGATATTCTTTATTCAGCGAAACACTGTTTTGATAGTTTCCATTAGTTTGTTGTTGTTGTTGTTGAGGGCCTTCGAGTCGGTTCTGACCCATAGAGACCCTGTATAGGATTTCCAAGGAGCAGCTGGTGAGCTTGAACCACCGACCTTGCAGTTCAAATGACTTTGCAGTCTGGCTCATTAACCCACAGCGCCACACCAGGATTTAACCATAATTTCCTTCAGCTCTTTGAAAATTTAAATAAGTTGGTTTAAAGTATTTGTTTAGCAGCCCTAAATGCTTTCCCTCAGGAACAGTTACTATTGAGATTGTAGTTTTTTCCCCTGTGTATCAAACTAGTCTTGTTTCTTTACGTAGCTCTTGATTTTTGTTTTGTTTGTTTAATTTGGATATTTTGAACATTACAATGTGACAACTCTGGTAATTAAATTATCTTCCCTTTCCAGGCTTTGTTATTAATGCTGCTTGTTGCCAATGTGTTGTATGTTTTGTGTTTTTTCTAAGATGGGTTCCATAAAGTCTGTATTCTTTGTTGAGTGTGACCACTGAACTCTCTGTTTGGTTGTTGTTGTTGTTGTTGTTGCTAGGTGCCATGGAATCAGTGTCGACTTATAGCAGCCTATGCACAGCAGAATGCAACACTACCCTATCCTGGGCCAACCTCACTATTGTTGCCACGGTTGAGCCCAGAGCTCTGGTAGCATAGTGGTCACAAATTGGACTGCAAACCATTAAAGTCAGCAGTTCGAAACTACCAGCTGTTCCATGGGAGAAAGATGAGACTTCCTGCTCCCGGAAAGATTTACAGCCTCGGAAACCTTCGCTACTTCGCTATGAGTTGGAACCGACTTCACGGTACACAACCGCACCACCGATTATTGGACAGACTTTCCTACAACAACACAAACTAAAAATTATCCCACTATTTGCATAGGCACTTTGTGTGTGTGTGTTAGGGTATGCTTTCACGCTCAACCAGACAGTTTACAATTCTTTCTTTGCCTTTACTTCCTACTTGCACAGAGACTAGAGGTCTGCCAGATATATTCCCTGAGCACGTTCACAGTCCTGGGCGTGCACATGTCATTTAGGTTCCCAGGAATACATTGGAGGGCTCCATGGCTTAAATATACATGTCACTCCCTTGTCTTTTCTCACAGGTCTTTGGTTAGTGAGCTATTTGTCTCATCTGTTATATATTGCCTCAGGCTGCAGCAGCTAAACATTTGCTTGTAAATTGTTTCATGCCTCTAGTGTTGGCTTTAGCACTGAGTGACTTATGAGACTGTTTTCTGCTTGTCTTCCCGGGAGTCACCAGAGAAATGAAATAATGACAGGGGTTGTTTTGTGTGGGACTGGAAATGCAGACTTTTATCTTCAAGGCTACCACTGAGTTGTGGGTGGAGGATGGGATTAGGGTAATTTAAAGTGTCAAAAATCTCGCAGTTCTTGCTGAGATCCATCTGTTTTTCCTGATGCTCTCTGGGTTGCTATAAGCTTTTGGTTAAGTTCCAGAATTAAAAAAAAAAAGTTGATTTTGACCATTTTTCTAGTTTTCTTATTGCTTTCATAGAGGATTGGAATTTGCAGGTTCTTTGCTCTGCAGTGTTTAATGACATCAATAGCAAGTTCAGAGTTGTATACAAGCAGTTTATTTGGCCATACCTGAAGGGTATTGAAATCTGCTTTTTGAACTTGAGAAACAATAAAATAAATGTAGATAAATAAGAAGATTGTAATTGAATCGATGTCTGTTATGGTTCACAGGTGAAAAGAGATTATTGACTGCTGTGTTGAACTTTTCATATTGCTTACTTTCTGGACTTTTACAAAATCTTGGTGATTTAGTTACTTTTGCTCCCATGGTACAAAGGAGGAAATTAAGATTCAGAGAGGTTAAGTAAGAGGGCAAGTGAAAAAGAGGAAGACCTGAATGAGATGGATCTTTTCTTATAGATTAAGCCTGTAACTTTGACTGATAATTCTAACAGCTACCACTGCAGAAACAACAATTCGGCTTAGACTGAAGGGGATAGGGAAAGAACAAAAGGAAAGAATGTTGTCTGCCTCTGGGAATTCTATAGGCAAGATGTAGGTCAAATGACCTACATCTGTTGTCTCCCGGAAAAGAAAAGACCATGCCTGGAGCAATTTGAAGATCCTCAGACTTTTCAAAAGAGCAAGCGAGCAGGCCTTCTCAGTTTCAAAGGGTAAAGACGATGATCTCATGGATCACGAAGAATGAGCTCACTGCCTTCTAGGTTTCAAAGAGTAGGATCCTTGCCAGTTTAGTTCTGAAATTCAGGGCTGCAATTCAGATGTGCCAGTCCTATGATGCCACAGCCTGAAACTGAAGGGGTAGGGCTGCCATTCCTAAGGGAAAGAACAGAGTTTACCAGGGTTGAAAGAATGAGGTCACTACTTAGATGGACTAGAAAAAAATGGAGCCTTCCAAACTGAGGGAGCCGAGTTGCCATCACAGTAGACCTGGAAGGTGGAGCTAAAGTTCAGGACCAAGAAGCCTCCACCCTAGACACCCAGAGTTTGGAGAGCAGTGCCCTTCCCCAGATGATCTCAGAGAACAGAGGATTGATTTCAAGCCACAAGAGCTAATGTAAATTGTTCCGCTGGATTTTGGACTTGCCTGGAGCCAGTTACCTCCTCCTTCTCTCTGATTTCTCCCATATGTAATGAAAATGTCTACTTTGTTCCTGTA